TGTGCCTGTTCATGCCCATGAGCACCCTGTTCTTGCCGTGCGCCCGTCACCCACCCTCCACGCCAGAAGGACCTCCCTCAGTGTGCCACACAAGAGTTCCACCTGCACACCTAGAGCTGCCGACTGAGGCTGGCCCAGGCCTCACCCCTCCTGTGTGGTGGCCCTCAGCCCAGCCTGGAGGTGGCTTCCAGCCAGGGAGGCCAGGAGAGGACGGGACTGGCCTGCCCCTCTGCCCTCTCTCTTTGTAATGCGCTCTTGAGCTGTAATCCTCGTACCTTGCTGGTGACCCATTCCAAGTGCAGAGTCAGGGTCTGCTTCTAAGGTAGCTCTGCTGAAAGGGACTCAACTTAGGCCTGGACAGGGGCTCCCCAAATTCGGGGATGTCCCTGAGCCTCAAAATCTGACATTTTTGGAAATATGGTTTTTGTGATCTAATCAGATGAGTAGGATGTGGCTGTACAGGGTCAAGACCCTAAACATCTGGTGTCCTCACAAGAAGGTGGCCGTGTGACTGCAATCCTGGGCCTGGCAGCTCTGGACAGCTAAGACAACAGGTGACTTCCAAATGAGAGTCCCTGTGGGACCCAGTGAGCCCCTGGGACCAGGACTGGACCCTGGACAAGGCTGTGGTCCCACTCCCGACCTCCTGTGCTCCAGCAGCAGGGCTGCCCTGCCCACTGCTAGAGGGGAACCCAGCCAGGGCCCGCAGAATGGCACTTTCCCCGTCTGCCTCCAGGCCCTGGTGCTCTAGGGCCACCACCCCCGGGTGCCAGCAGGCAGGCAGCGCCTGGTGGGGGCGGGTGCTGTGCATTGGCTGGAAGGGGGTGCTTATGGGTATAGACGCTGCCCTGTGGCTTAGTGACCTAGTGTCCCGCAAGGGTAGTGTCCCCACGAACACAACTTCTTTGGAAAGGAGGGTGGTTGCGGATGGATTAGTCGAGTCACTGGGGTAGTGTGGCCCCTCCTCCAATGGCTGTGTCCTTAAAGAGGGGAACCTGGACACACGGAGGCCACAGGAAGACAGGCAGGAGTACAGCAGGCAGCACCAAGAACCCAGGTGTCGCCCAGGTCCTGGGAGGGAGCCCAGCCCTGCATTTTGGGCCCCTGACCTCTGGCACTGGGGAGAGCAAGGTCCTTTGTTCCGTCCTCCCTGTGGTGCTGGTTCCTGGCCCCAGGAGGGCGGTTTGCTCAGAGTCAGATGTCCAGGCCAGGACCCCCTGCCCAGGGTCTGTTCTTGGGCTCTTGGAGAGCCAGATGTGCTCACAGCCAAAGCAGATGAGGTGGCCACGCCCTGATCACCCCCCTCAGCGCCCACCTGTGTGGCCAGGTGGCCTCCCTCTGCTCTCGGTCCTCATGGCTCCTGCGGCTCACCCTCTGTCCACACATAGAACCACCCGTCTGCTGTAGGCACAGCAGCTCCTGGACCCAGTCTGACCCCCTCCTGACCCCTGACCCCAGACTGGCAGAACCGAGGTTCCCAAAGCTTTTGATTCTGACATCAGCCAGGGCAGGACAGAAGCCACCCCACAACTCCATGCCCCAGCAAAGGGAGGTGACCAGGCTGCAAGCCCGTGGACTCCCACGGGTCCTGTGAGCACCAGGGTCCCTGGAGCAAAGCCTCCCGACTCGGGCATCCCCAGGACCCCATGGCTGGCTGCAGGCAAAGCCATATCCGCAGGCATGACCCTGGCTGGATGCGCCTGGGCTCCTGAGGGTGTCACCTGGCCAAGCCCCTAGCCTGCCTCCCTGGAAGGGCCGGTCCTGCCAGTATCCAAAAACCTCAGGGACATCTCCGTCCCTGGAGTGCATACCCAGAGGCCACCACACTTCCCACAGAGGCTGTGGTCCTTTCTTCTGGGAGATCCCGAAGCTCAGGCCCACCCCAGACTAGTGACAGCATGCTAGTCTAGCGACCTGGTGACCTTGACAACGCTGCTCTTGGATTACTTGACCCTGTGGGCACACAGGTGAGCACTCCATGGGGAAGAGGGGGGAGGAGGAAGGGGACAGCCCCCGCTGCTTGGCCAGCCCAGGCCAGGTGGCAGCCTCCTGAGGAGAGGCGGGGCTCACCTGCCTCATTCCAGCTGCCCCGGGGGCCTCTCCTTGCCCTAGCAGGTCAGCCTTCCCCCAGAGCAGTTCTGGCACACTAGGGCTCTCCACCCAGCGTGCTCAGCACCAGCCCCTCGGCCGGCCTTGTCTGAGCTCCACCTGGTCATGGGGCCGCACCTGTTCCCACAGCACCTGCAGTGTCCTTTAAGCGCCCCGTGAAGGAGCTGGAGAAGGTCTGGGCAGGAAGGCCGAGTCTCTGGTCATCTGTGGTGTCGGCCCACACATCTTGCTCTGCCCGCTGTCCTCACGTGGGCAGGGTGTCTGGGAGGGGGCACAGCTGTGGGAGGGGGCAAGGGAAGGACCCGGAGAGAAGGGTGTCCGCAGGGCTGCTGTGCTGTGGCTGTGAGCAGCGTCCAGCTGGGTGCGGGCCGTACCCTACCTGCACCCTCTGCTGCCACTGCCAGGAGCCCCGAGGGGACTGTGGACATGCGCCCGTCCTGGAGCATCAGAGACCCAGGTCTGCGGTCTTCTTCTTGCACAACGTGCGTCCGGTGACGTTCTTGCTCTTGTCTAAGGAGAGTCTAATGTCACCTGGTCGGCTCACCCTGCCCCGTAACCACACTGTCTCTGATGGCAGTGACACAGACAAGGACACCTTAGCCTTCCTGGCTGCCGACCAGAACCCTCTCCTATAGACAGAACTCAGCACAGCGGGTGGGCAGCCAGCTTGGCCAGAATGGGGACCTGGGGCCTGCAAAACTGCAGGCTCAGGAAAAAGTGACATGACTATGAACCTGCAGGGCGACTGAGAGGGTGATGGGGGCTGGGGACCAGCACTGCGCTCAGCTGGGGGCTTGGGTGAGGTCTTGGTGCTCAGGGTGGGGTAGCTCCTGGCCAGCATACGTCTGGCGTGTCGCACTGCCCAGGTCTGGGTGGAGACAGTGCCCACACGGGGTGCCTGAGGGGCGCCCACACAGGGGAGTTCTGTGTGGAAGCAGAGTGCGCCCTTCACAGGGGGCCACGCTCCGACCAGTCCTCACACCTCCTCCCCAGCCCACCACCCAGACTGGAGCTCTGTACTAAGCTGGAGAGGCCTAGTCCCTGGTGAGGCGCCAGTGTGCCTGCTGCCCTGGCTTCTGGTGCCATTTGTCACAAGTGCAGGACACTTTGTGGGAGGCATGAGCAGGACCCCGCATTGTCCTCACGGCTCTCCAGGACTGTGAGGGCGGGAAGTGGTCCACCCTGGTGTCCTGCCCATGGGTGGGACTCCCCACCCGGGCTTCAGGGCCCATCATCCCGAGGCCTGGACAGGACTGGCACCATCCTTACTGGTCCAGGAGCACGACCAGTGTGACCACCAGGCTGCTGGGCACCTGGACCTGCTCTGGCTCACCCAGGGGAGTCCACTGCAGGGTATCCACAAGGCCCCTGCCATGAGCAGGCCCCTTGACAGCGCTCACCCAGCCTGGAGCCCTCACTCTGCCACTGCTGGGTGGTCTCAGCAGGACAGTGCCACCAAACCCCTTCATCCTGAGTGTCCCTCCACACAGCCATCTGCCCACCCCAGAGGGCGGTCATCGGAACAGCCCACAGTACACACGGCAACACCACCTCGGTCCCCAGGATGGAAAGCCAGCTCGCCTCCTGATGCCGGCACCACTGGGGCAGGTGACAGACTAGACCAGTGTCAGTCTCCCCTCTCCAGAGGCACTGACACGTCCTGCTCCCACGGCCTTCTAACTCCGAGCCGGGCTGCTCCTGCTCTGGGCTCCCCGGTTCCTCTTCCTGTGCCTCCTGCTCCCTTTCTGGCAAAGATGGGCACGCGGCCCTCCCCAGACCTGAATGGCATCCTCCGCCCGCCTTCCCAGGGAACGTCTCAGTGGGAGGTGTGGCCTGGGTTGGCATGTTATCAGTGTTTCTTTCTTTCCTTACCTTACAGCACTGGATGGAACCGGGCCACGCACATGCTAGTCGGCAAGCGCCCTGCCACTGAGCCGCTCCTCAGCCCTCAAAGCGTTCTCGAGTTCCCGTGGAGGGTGGGACACCGGCCCGTTACCTACCCAAGGTCTCGCTGGGCTTCATCACCCGTGACCTGGACAGGGTGCTGGGGAATGAATCCGGGGTGCTTCACACGGAGCACACACCCAGCCTTTCTGTTTTTAACTTGAGACAGGGTCTGTAAGTTGCCCAGGCTGGTCTTGAACTTGCTGCCCTCCTGCCTCAGCCACCATCAATACCCTAACACTGTGGGGGCAGACATGGCTTCCCAGCAGGAGGCGGCCTCCACAGGAGCCACACAGCATTTTAGGAACAGGCTCCCAGTCACCTCCCTTCAGGGCAGCGTGCCCCACAGGAGCTCCAGGGGTTTCCCGCTCTGCCCGCTCTGCCAGGCTCGGCTGCACCTAGTCTCTGTCACACTGGGTGCTACTGCCTCTGTGCACATCTCTGTTCCGGTGCCAAGTGTGCAAGCGTGTACCAGTAGACCCAGAGCTAAGCTCAGGACGGGGCTTACGGAAGCCGGTGCGACGGAGCACGTGGGTAATCCCAGTGGCTCAGGAGGCCGAGACAGGAGGATTGTGAGTTCAAAGCCAGCCCCAGCAATGGCGAGGTGCTTAGCAACTCAGTGAGACCCTGTGTCTAAAATGAAAAATGGGGCTGGGGAGGTGGCTCAGTGGTCGAGTGTCCCTTAGTTCAATCCCTGGTTAAAAAAAAAAAAAGAACTGGGCTTACTGAAACCTTCTATTTCCTGGAGGGGGCTGAGGCGTAGGAGGCCACGGCCAGAGAGTGGGAGAACCCGGCCTTCCTGGCCACCAGCCCGGTGGCTGAGCACGCTGGCCTGGGCTCCACAGCCCTGTGGTGTCAGTGCTGAGAACGTCAACCCAGCTGCCCCTGGCCTATCTCTAGATGGACTAGGGTTCAGAGAAACAGCCTCCAAACAAAGGAGCAACTAGTAAAGATGTGAAAATATATTTAAGGAGAGTCAGGGTGGGGCTCTTTGAAAGTGATTAAGATCATAAATGGGGCAGGAAAATACCATCTCAAGGACACTGGAACCGCCACGTGACAGCAGCTGCCTCCCAGTACCCTCCGGGCCATAAAGGGCTCGGCACAGAGGTGACGTTCTTCGCTCCGTGGTCCCAAACCCGTGCTGCACTCAGCAGAATCCTGCAAGGGTCTGTGACGGGGACGGAGGGGACTAGAAGTAGGTCAGCTCGTCGTGCTTGGCCTTGTCGGTCTGGTAGGCGTGCAGGGTCAGGGGCTTGTTCTCGTGTGGCAGGCTCCGGAACACCCGCAGGTGCACGCACTTCTCATCGCCGACGTCCACCTGCGGGAGAGTCCTGTGAGGGTCGGCCGAACCCTGGCTCCTCCTTCACGGGCAGAACCCCACGCCACCCCCTGCCTCCCCCAGAGCCCCCAGCTGGCCTGGTGCACATGCCCACCACCACACGCACAGCACCATGCTTACCTAAGCACCCGTGGTCCCCCAAAGTGGGGGCAGCCCGGACCCCCATAGCACTGTGCCCTGGCGCCAGGGACCCAGGCCCTAGCACCCACCTTAATGAAGAAGTTTGTTCCTGCCACCACTTGGCTCCTGTAGGACACAGCCTTGAAAACAGGGAACTTCTGGTTCTCTTTCTCTTCAAGCTGGGACTTCACCTGGCAGGGTGACAACACAGAGGGACTCCAGCACCAGCCCCCAGCACAACTGTGCCTCACAACCCAGACACCGCAACTGTCCTCCCAGTGACAGTGGAGAAACCAACTCCTGCTCAGTTCCACCAGTCTAATGACACATTCAGAATGGCATTCGCCTTCCCGTGTGGGCGTAGGACATTTAATATTTTCATTACAACACTGTAGACAAGTTCATACCGCTTTTTTTCCCACTCAATATGCAAATAGTTCATTTGAAAGAGTATGATTTTTTTAAACCAGGGACTGAACCCAGAGGTGCTCTACCATTAAGCGGCATTCCCAGCCCCTTTATTTTTTAATTTTGAGAGAGGGTTTCGCTATGTTGGTTAGGGGCTCACTAGATTATTGAGGCTGGCCTCGAACTTGTGATCCTCCTGCCTCAGACTCCCCAGTCACTAGGATTACAAGCATGCACCACCATGCCCGGCTGTATATCATTTTTTATTTTTATTATTTATTTATTTATCTTTATGTGGTGCTGAGGATCGAACCCAGTGCCACAGCCCCAGCCCTGTGTACCATTTTTATCTAATCCCTTATTCATCTTTTATTTATTTGGTGCTGGGGATGGAACCCAGGCCTTGAGAATACTAAGCACACAGGAAACCACTGAGCTACACCCCAGCCCTAATCTTTTAAAACTTTTCGATTAACTGAGATCTCTGATGTTTAAATTTAAGCCTCCATTTCACAAATACATCTCAGTTCCTTTAGCATCCTTCTGTGGGCACAGAGGCCAAGCCTAACCTTGCCACAGGCAGCAGGTGACCAGCACTTCGCCTGTATCTTGAGGTGGCTGCTTTAGGACATGCAGTGAGTGAACAGAAACATGCTTTTGAGTTGAGGCTGTATCCTGGGGACTTGACCTTTCAGAGGCCAGGGGTGTGGCTCGTGTAGACTGCTTGCAACCTCGAGGCCCTGGCCTCCATTCCTAGCACCCCAAAAACCAACAACATCCCAGAAGCTGATAATCTTTATGGTGGAAATAAAGAGCAAGTTTGTTTTTAAAAAACATTTTAAGGAGCTGAGGGTGCACTGCAGTGATTAAGCACTTGCGTAGCCTGTACAGGCCCTGGGCTCCATCTCCAGCACTGCAAAGGAAAGCAAAAATCATTTTAAAAAACTAACATGTTTATGTGTAATGTAGCTTCAGTGTTGTGGTCAGGTGTGGTGGTGCAAACCTTGGTCCCAGCTACTCAGGAGACTGAGGCAGGGGGACTGCTTTAGCCAAGGAGTTTGAGCCCAGCCCTGGCAACAATGAGACCCTCTCTCAACGGAAAACAACAGAAAGCAAAATGTGTGTGGGGCATGTAGGAAGTGTTCTAGCCCCAGTACCCCAAAACTAAAACACCAACGGCCGGAGCTCTGTGGATGCATCCATGCTGGCTGGGGCACTGGGTCCCTCGACTCTGCAGAGACTGGGCTGGTTCTAGTTTAGCAAAGCAAAGCAAGTGAGAGAGGCCCCAGCTGGGAGATGAGGGGACTGTGCAGTCTGACTCAGGCTCTGTCACCGAGCAGCACCTCCAGGGCGGGTCCCTGATGGAAGCACTGTGCTGCACCTGGGGGGACACACAGTGACAAGTCCCAGCTGTCACTTGTCCAACAAATCACCCAGGAGCTGAGAAGATAAAGCTGCTCTCTGCCCACCTGAGGAGCAGCAGCATGAACAGTGAGCAGACCCAATGCAGATGGTGGAGGACTGCGGGGGCCTGGGCCAGGCAGGTCCCTGCCTGCTGAGGGAAGCTTCCTGGTCCTGTTGGCAGGCTTTCTGAAAGGCCACAGTCAGCTGGGAAGCTGCAAGCTACCAGCCCTCAGGGGATCAGGTGGGGCCCAGGGACAGGGGAGCCACAGGCAGGGTCCCTCTGGGCTGGGGGAGACTCTGCCGAGCATCTGCTATCGCATGCAGGACTCCATCTCCCTCTAACTAGGGCTAGTCTCTGATGTCTGTTCTCATCTGCAAAGGGGAGAAACTGCAGTCACCAGCGTGCTGTGGTGACAGGAGGTGCTGGGCAGGTGCCCCTGTCCCCTCCTCACCTCAGAACCCATCCTAAAAATTCCCCCGCAGCAAAGCTACTGCTAACTTGCCCCTCCCATGAGACAGCCACTCCTTGTCCTGGCTGAGTAAGAAATGACAAATCACGGAGCCCAGGAAACTGCTAAGGACCGCTGGCTATGAGCAGCTCAGAGGGGACTTTCTCCAGTGTGGCTCACGGGGGCCCTGGCAAGTGCATTCTGGGCAAATTCCTCATTTTCAAGGTCTCAGTGGACTGACTCACTACCCTTACTACAGTCAGATGACCCAAACCACCAAGGCAGTGACATGGTGAGCCAGTCACATGCCAGTGGGCTCAGGAAGCAGCAGGCAGGATTTTAAAGGACGAAGTTCCCCTTTTCCTCTTACTCAAAACCCTGAGCCTGTCCTGCTTGTGAAGGATCCTGGCTTTGCTGATGAACAGCGAGGGGGAACCCTGCCCAGGGCAGGTGCGGAAGGGGAAGACACCGCGTTTCAGAGGGGAAGAGGCCCGGGAGGGGGCCACTGCCAGGGGCTGTGGGCAGCCCGGCCTGGTTTTATTTTGGTTTTGGACTTTTTACTTGGAGAAAAGTATAAACTCAGTTTTAAAAACGAAGCTAGAATAAGCGCAGCCACAAAACACGCACAGGCCTTTCGGCCCCCACCGCGTCGCGCCTGCCCCGCGCCGACGGCCGACTGCCCAGGGCCAGCGAGCGCTCCGCAGCCCGACGCTCGGATGCCGACCCCGGCCTGAGGGCGACCCAGCAGGTCCTGGGCCTCGCGTCCCCCGCTCTGAAGCCCGCAGCGGCCCCGGCTTCCGCGCCCGAGACTCGGGGGCCCGCCGCCTCACCTGGTCAGCGATGTCCTGCGTCTCGGCCGTGGCCGGCCGCGTGGCGCTGGGGCCCCCGCACATCATGATGGCGGCGGAGTCGGGACCGAGCGGACGGCGAAGTGACAGCGCAGGACCCGGCGGTGTGGACCCTTCGTCCGCCCAGCTCCGGAGTAGGCGCGGCGCCCACGTGACCGGGCGAAACCAAAGCGCGGGGGTGTCCAGCAATGTCGGCTAGGAACCGGGCGCGGGCGGGGTCTCCCAGACGCGCGCGCCAGCGCCCTCGCCCACGAGTGCCCACGCACGTCCACGCACGTCCACGCACGCGCGCGTGTTCCGGCTGCGGACCCAAGGCCCGGCGAAGGAGCTTCCCCCGTCCGAGTTGGTGTCGTCCTCCAGGTGACCAAGTCACGAGGACCTGGCGGGGGCGCGGCCGGGTGCCCGGGAAGTGGGAGCGGGCGCAGCCCTGCGAGAAGGGTCCTGAAGTGCGACCCTTGCGTGGTGGACACGAAGTAGGGTCAGACACTCACGAGGGATCTGGGGGTCCCGGCCCCTGCGCAGTGAGCGGAGGTGTGCATGCGTCCTACCACTGGGTACGGTGGTGGGCACGAAGTGCAGTGGGACTGCCACACCCTATTGTCTTGCGCAGCTACCGGTCCTGGCAGCCCGACCCTGCCGCCAAGTGCGAGCCAGTACTGCGGAGGCCCAGCAGGACTTGAGAGCTGCAGAAGGCAAGGGGAGAAGCGGGGGCCCAGAACAGCCTGGAGATGGTTTGCCCCTGGGTGCCCACCTGGCTGCCTGTGGTCGCTCCTCTGCAAGGCCTGGCAGCTTGCCCCACTGGTGCCAGCTAGTTATGTGGACTGCCGTGGACATCAGTATTGTGTCACCTGGGGACACAGGGAATGTGGAACGAGGGAGGACGCCGGGGCCCAAGAAGGAGAAGGAAATGACTTGGCCTCAGCCTGGAGTGAGGCAGGGGCGTATCCGAGGAATTAGGAAAGGGCTTGGTTCTGGTGGTGTTACCGCTGTTGACCGGTGACGAGTTCTTGCTTCCCCAATGTTGAAGAATAACACCAAAGAAGCACACGGAGGCAAGGTCAGAGTAGAAATTAGAAGTTTATTAAAGGACAGCAGAAAAGACTTCTCCCGGAGGAAGAAGGGGACCCAAGAGGTGGAATCCGTGGAAGTGCGGTTGTTTCCCCTTTTTATAGTTTTGGTGATGGAATGTAGGTTGGAAGGCCCCAGGGGTGGGACACAGGTGGGCAAAGAAGTAGTCTGAGCAGGAAGGACTTCATTAACACTTCTTTGGGATGGATTTTGGCCTAGGGCCTTTTCAGGACTTCATTAACATTCCATGAGCTGTCCTGCGTTTCCTGGAATCATTCTCAGCATGGCCTCCATTTTAGATTTCACTCGGTATTAGACCCGATTTATCTAACTACACTGACTGCCTCACTTTAAATCTGGCTTCAGTGGGATCTGGGTATAGGAGTTGGTTAGACTCACCATGGGGGAAGGGAAGGGCTGCCTGCTATATTTTGGACAGATACACGCTGGGAGCTGCCTGGGCTAGCGTCTCAGAAAGATCCAGCCTCCCCCTCACCCTCTAGGGCTGCTCCTCGGTGGACACTGGTCTGGTCCACTCCAAGGTGCTGCCTTACTGTCCCAGCAGAAGCAGCCCTGAGGGGAGGCGAAGGGGGGCATCTGATGCTGCAACTTTCAGAAGGTGGGGAGTCAGTGCAGTTGGCCTGAGGCTGGGGAGGGACAGACTCCCTTGATTATTGAGTGAGGATTCCATCCGTGTAAAAATGGAGATCTCCTCTGTGTAGAAGACAAAGCATCGCGCTGGAGATGTGGCTCAAGCGGTAGCGCGCTCGCCTGGCATGTGTGCGGCCCGGGTTCGATCCTCAGCACCACATACAAACAAAGATGTTGTGTCGGCCAAAAACTAAAAAAAATAATAAATATTAAAATTCTCAAAAAAAAAAAGCATCAAAAAATAGGTAGCCAAGGACAGAGGCAGGGAGGTTTGTCCCATGGAGATTTCCTTGTGTCTGATCCTCCCTCTGTGTTGGACCCGGGTTAGGTTATCAGTGCCCTCCTTTTACAATGAGGACTAAATTATGGAAACAAAGGCCACCCCATGAGAACCAACACTTAGAAAGCGGGTCTAGTAAAGGCTTGCTGGGCAAGGGGCTGATGGCCCTCAGCAGAGATTGAAGGTAGGCAGGGGAAGGGCCTCACTGTGGACAAAGTGAGGCGCGGCTGTGTCTTGGTGGTGCTCACTAGAAGAGGTCTCTATGCACTTGACTTAAGGGGCATATTTGAGGCTGGCTGGTCAGTCCTAAGTTGGAAGTGGAGACAGACATTAAGAAGCAGCTGTCCTGGCCTATCTGGGCCAAGAGCAGCACATAACTGACCCAGGGTCTGGCCTGCTGGCAACTCAAAGCCACTCCTGGAGAAGCAAGCATTGGTAGGAGGGAATTAGGTTTATTTAAGGGTGGGCACCTTGGGAGATGGAGGGGCTATCATTCTCAAGGTTCAGTCTTGGGGGCTCAGGGGTGCACAGGGCTTTTATAGGGAGAGTATGGAGTGTGGGTCTCCTCCTTAATTGGTTAGAATGGCTTGATGGATCTTGACCTCCTGGGGCTGGTTTCTGTAGTTTATTTTTGGTGCTTGTGATTGAACCCAGGATGCTTTACCACTGAGCTACATCCTCAGGCCTTGGTATTTATTTATTTATTTTGGTACAAGGGATTAAGCCCAGAGGTGCTTAACCACTGAGCCACATCCCCAGCACTTAAATTTTTTTTTTTATTTTTAGTTATAGGTGGACACAATACCTTTGTTTATTTTCATGTGGTGCCAGGGATTGAACCCAGTGCCTCATACATGCTAGGCAAGCACTTTATCACTAAGTCACCACCCCAGCTTTATCCCCAGCACTTTTTATTTTGAGACAGGGTCTCACTAAGTTGCTTAGGGCCTAAATTGCTGGGGCTGGCCTCGAACTTGTGATCTTCCTGCCTCAACCTCCTGAGCTGCTGGGATTTCAAGGGTGCACCACCACACCTGGCTTGTTTTGTTTGTTTGTTCCTGTGATGCTGGGGACTGAACCCAGGGCCTCACATATGCTAGGCATGTGCTCTACTCCTTTGAGGCGGGTCTAAGTCGCCTCCTCCTGCCTGGCCTGCTGGGTAGCTGGGATCACAGGCCTGCACAGCTGGCTGTGGAGTACTTCAGACAGATTGCTTTCTTGCAGGTTACACCTCAGAGCAGTTGACACAAAGCTAAAGACTTAGGAAGGGCGCTAGGAAAGTTACCGGAGGCTCTGGTCTCCATAAGTCTAGAAGTTATGGAACAGTTAACATCATAACCATTTAGGTGGGGCTTCTTTTTGGAGCTTGGAACTCAGGGCTGAGGGGCGGGGGCAGAACACCTGCATGAGGCTTGCTGGGTCGGGGAGGGGGTAGCCTTGCTGAAGGCAAAGGGGTGGGGGGCTCTGTAGGGATAACCCCCAGAGGAACTGCCCTGCTACCAGCAGGGCTGTCGTCTGGCTTGTACCTGGTCGTGTCAGTGGGTTTTCTGGCCATTTGTGGTCTGGCTGCTCTGGGTCGTATTGCTGCAGGTGTGGGCGCACCCAGATGTACGTGAGCCACAGAGGGCTGGCTCTGAGCCCACCTGCCAGGGTATGGATGCAGCCCTGGTCCCTGCTGTGTGGTGTGGGACTGCTTGCTGGACCTTTCTGTGGGGATGACACATAACCAGTCCCAAAGGCTCTCTAAAGGACCAAGTGAGTGAATTAGCACCCGGACACAGTGAGCTCCAGAGGAGCTGTGAGCCTTGTCATCGTCACTGTTGCTTGTGTATGCACTGAGTTTTGCTGGGTTTTCTGTGGGACGCTCTGGAAATACTTATATTCTGGAAATATTTGTACCTCTTTCCTTGGTGCCACTGTTTTTCATCTACAGGAGCCGGGAAAGAATGAATCTCCTGTCTCCCCACCAGAGTCACCCTGGCTCCACCACAAGAGCCTGAGCATGACTTACATTTGAAGTCTGTATTTGGAAAGATCAAGATCTTGAAGTCAAACTATTTTGAAGTCTCGCCTGTGAAACCCCTGCTTTCCCAGGGTGGATCCCAGCCGTATTTATTCATTTGTTTCTCTGAGAGTCTCACAGTCCGCCCTGCCCCAGGCGAATCCACCTTTTGTTAGCACTCCTGTGCTAGTGACTCATCTACCTTTCCCAGTTCCCATCAAAAACATCGTCATCAGAATTCGTACCAGTTGAATCCCAGTCTGAAACTGGTTGGGAGAGAAAGAAACGTTGACAGTTTGAACAGCTGGGCCTTTATTAATGTACAACTCACCCGTTTCAAGGGAAACAGCAGAACAGAGGTCAGGTGCCGGTGAGGGGGGCAACCAAAGCATAGGAGTCCACCCTGAGCCTGCTGCTCTGGGATACCCACGTGGGGCAGGTTGTGGCTTTGCCTCTGAGATGGGCCCCTCTAAGCCGGCCATCTCTGAAAGGACGGGGAGCTCACAAAGATGAGGGTAAGTCAAGGGCAACACAGAGGCCACTCCTACTTCCTAGTGGTAGCAGAGTTTGCTGAGCTTAGAAGCGTTCGCTGGGACCCCACTTTGGGGGCATACCTGCTGTTCTTGCCCTGACCACCTTCTGTCTCCCTGTCTCCCTGGGTGCTTTTGGGGATTCCCCTGTGGACAGACAGCCGGTTCCTCGCTGTGCCCCAGGTGCCCACGTTTTACAAGTGGGAGGTAACAGCTGTGGAAACAAGGCAGGAACAAGGCAGGGCTGTAGGTTCCCACCGGCTCTGCCAGGGAGCCAGCTGCCCTGTGTTGGTAGGAGGGAGTGATGTCTGCTCCCACCTCCACGTCTGCTACAGAGCAGGGGCTGGAAAGTACTTGACACCTACACACTTAGGAAATAAGAAAACAAGACTTCAAAATTAAAGTTGTCAAGTCAAACAATTATCACAGGAAAATTAATGGCTGCATAGAAGATTTATCAATAAACATGGCCCTCACAGAAAGTGGAAGCAACTGCAGTACCCAGGCTCCTCCCACAGCAAGGAGCACTGTAGTTACCAGGGAGTACTCACAGGACAGCATGTGGGTGCAAATGCCATGCGGGTTCCTGGGCCCTTCCCCTGGAGACTCCAGGGGTTCGGATAGATGCCTGTAGAACTGAAGGGCATAGACTTCACATTAGCCATCCTGGGGGGTGGGACAGGCAGTTTAAAACTCACCTCTGCAATTTTCTGTATCTTTCTGAATGTATTCTTGGGGTACTGGGGATTGAACCCAGGGGCACTCTACCACAGAGCCTCATCCCCAGCCCTTTTTACTTTTTATTTTGAGACAGAGTTTTCTAAGTTGCTTAGGGTCTCACTAGTTGCTGAAGCTGGCCTCAAACTTGTGATCCTCCTTCCTCAGGCTCCTGAGGATTACAGGAGTGTGCCATCATGCCCAGCAAGGAAAAAAAAAAAAGACCTTTTTAAAAAAAAAAAAAACAACAACAAACTTTTGAGCCAGGTGCATTGGTGCATGCCTGTAATCCCAGCAGCTTGGGAGACTGAGGCAGAAGGATCTCAATTCAATGTCAGCCTCATCAATTTAGTGAGACCTTGTCTCAAAATAAAAAATAAAAAGGCCTTGAGATGTGGCTCAGTGGTTAAGCACCCCTGGGGCGCTTCCTCAGTACCAAAAAAAAAAAAATTCTTTTAGGAAAAAAAGTTGTTTTATTTTAGAATGTTTTGCATTTTGAGAAGTCAGTGATGTTGTGGGAACATGCTCGATGTAGTGAAAGAAGTTCATAAAATTAGCACTACGGTGTGATTAAAGTATTTTTAAATTCTATACATAGAAAATTATGAATGAACACCTAGGCTTTGTTCTTTCAGGCCCTGGGAAGCTCCTTCCCCATGTCCTGTAATAAGGGGTGGAGGGAGATCCCGCAGGGGCACCACATCCCAGCTCGGGATGTGTCCTGGCTGGAGCCTAGGGTGCCACACCCACAGGTACTAGGACTTGCTGGGACTCGTGCTGTGCCTTCTCACTCATGCCCTGGACCCGGTGCTTGACCTGGAAGCTTCTATGTCCATCTGCCAAAGGGTCAGCATGGCACCTCCCTCGCAGAAGGTTTCTAGGTTCCGTGAAGGCGTGCCTGAAGTCCTGGGCACACAGTGGGCCTTTCCGAGTGCAGTGGGCATTGTCTGTCTTCCTTTCCCACACCTGGAGTGGACTAGATGGTGTTCGCCAAAATGTTACATCCACGCAGGATCCGCGAGTGTGACCTCGCTTTGGAAGTGAAGTTGGTGAGAGGTTGACTGGTGCTGGCACTAGCAAGTCAACTTGCACTGTTCATCCTCAAGGACCTGACTGAAGAGAAGCGGGAGGAAGGGCACCGCTGAGTGGCAGCCACCCGCCCGCCTCGGTGGTCATCTTCCCTTCGTGTTTAGAGGAACAGGAACGCCCAGAATGCCAGGTGACCTGGAGACAGCATCGCAGCCACAGTAAGAGAATTGATTCCTGCAAGGATCAATGACCATGCTGGTGCCACCAGCTGTGGTAAAAATGGGTCCCCAGGAGCCCCATCCCAGCCTCTGCACCTGCAGTCTGGGAGAGACAGAGTCTGGGGACAGCCCTCCACCCCCACCTGTGGCTTGCTGCCCGTCAGGCTCTTTCTTCTCCATCCATCTGTCTCCTGAGCTGTTAGCTGTATTTGGTGGCAGTGGCAGACTTTTCATGGGCACAGAAATAAGGTCTTTGCAGATGTAATTAGTTAAGAGGAGATCCTGCTGGACCAGGGGGGGGCCCTGAGTCCAATGGTGGTGTTCTAATAAGAGGAGAGGACACAAAGAAAGAATGGCTGGTGAGGTTGGACAGAGGGAGAAGGCCCAGTGCAGACAGCGGAGACTGGAGCATGATTGCGGCAGCCAAAGCCAAGGAGCCTGGAGCCCTCAGGGGGCACGCCCCAGGCAGCCTGTCAGCTGGACCCTGGACTTCAGGCTTCCAGAACGTGAGAAGGAGTTCCTGCTGTGTTGAGCCAGCAGGTCTGTGGTGGTTGTCACAGCAGCCCCAGAAATGGTACTTCCTCCCTGTTCGTCACATATATGTTCCCGAGCATGGGAGTTAAGCTGTGCTTTTAAGGATGTCATATGCACACCTGGACTGGCATGTTTTCATCAAGTTGAGCCTGGAGTTGAAAGACCAAGGCTTAGAAACCACAGGGCCCCTGATCATGGAGTGTTGACACTCTAGAGGACAACAGGACAACCTCAGGTCAGGAAGTGGGTCACTGTGATGTTGCAGGGAGACCAGATGTTGGAGTTTATTATTTGTGGGACAGTGTGCACCCTTCTGTGCTTGCTGAGACCCAGCAGGCAGTTTTTTTACACACTCATCAGTGAGGCAGTGTTCTGGTTGCAGGAAACAAACAAAAATCCCTGCCTGTGGGAGCTGATAGCAAAATGTAGTGTCTGTGAATTTGTAAAATTATTGCCTTAATCAAATTATTGTCAGATTATCTCCTTTTTACAATCTTCAAAATCTTTTATTCTGAAATAATTTTTAAAAATAGTGCAGAAGCCAGGTACAGTGGTTCAACCTGGAATCCGAGTGACTCAGGAAGCTGGGGCAGGAGGATTACAAGTTCCAGGCCAGTCTGGGCAACACAGAGATGAAACTGGAGTTTGAGGTGAAACTAGATTCTCTGCTTCTGCTGGTGGGTGGGGTGTGCATCACCTGCAGGCCTCTGCAATGGAGAAAGCCCGCTTTAGTGTTAGCAGTGAATCACAGTCAGCTCAGAGGGTGCAGCTGGACTCCTCCCCACTACTATCCAGTGGTGTGTGGCAGCTCTTAGTGACAGGCTATGCCTCGGTGTCACAGTCGACCCCAGCAGCTCACGGACAGTTTCTTTTTGGGTCTTGCAAATTCAAAGAATGAAATCCACAGACAGTAATGGAAGGCAGGAGTAAAAGGACTAGGATTTATTCACATGAAAATAAAAGAGGGTGAGAAGGGACCCTATTACAAGTTGTCTTCTGAGTGTGCTAGTCCAGGGACTTACATAGCTCTTGGGTTAATGCTGGTGGTCCAAATTATGCCCATCAGTGCTTGGAAAAGTACCAGTGCTATTGGTTAACCCTTGATTCTGAACTTCCCGATAACCTCCTTTCAGATCTGGCCCCAATTCTGTTTTCCCACCACTTCAGGACAAGGGCTTAGACTCAACAAGACCCTGACTCAAAATAAAATAAAAAGGATCAGGGATGTATGTAGTTCGGTAGTAGAGGTCTTGGGTTTCATCCTAAGGACTGGGGAAAAACACAGAGCTCCTGCCAGCTCTTCCTGTGTCCCCAAAGGCTTACATCTTACACAATTTACAGATGGTACGGTAACCCAAAGCAGGAAGCCAGCACAGCGGTTCTGTGCCAGTGACTGGTCTGTGACCCCTCGCCTTCTCCCAGCACCCCACCAGAGGCCCTTTTTCTGGTCCAGGCTTCTCCCACACAGCACTCTGTTTGAGAGGAACTGGGAAAGTTTCAGTCATTTTGAGGAATATTTCTTAGGGCATCCTAAGAACATTGATGTCTTAGCTCTGGCCATGCCTTGGTCACTTCATGAGGGGGTGTCTTCTGATCTCTTTATTGGAAAGATATTGCTTTCCCTTTGTTGTAAGTCCTTGGAAACCTGGCACACGTTTTCATACTTTTACCCACTAAAAATTTCATGTATTTATTTTTTGTGGTGCTGAGGATGGAACCCAGGGCTGCATGCATGCTAGGCAAGCACTCCACCCCACTAATTTCAATACCCATACTGGATGGTTCTGTCACAGTCAAGTGGCAAGCTGATGCCCCAAGCCTCAGTTCTTTTGTTCCCACAAAAGGAAATTTAATGGCAGACAGGAAAGGCCAAGCAAGAAGTGAAAGTAAAATAGGGCTCAAACAAAGAACACCCTCAAGAGAAAGTGGGTCATCTCCGAGCAGAGAACAATAAATTTATTACAGTTCTACGTTTGCCCTAGGAACTGACATCACCTTCTACAGTCTTTACCCAGCATGTTTACCTCCTCCTCCACATGGTGGGGGTGGGTTCTTTCAGGAACTGTCATGGTGATTATGGTGGGGACTCATCTGCAAGTCAATCCTGTTAATGTAGCTGCTGTGCTCGGTGACCAGATCGACTTTATCTTAGCTCACTGGTGTTACTGGAGAACTGTCTCCTCTAATGTGCACCAAGGAACCTCAGGCCATCAATCCTAACTACGCAGTGATCCCAGTTAGCCCATCATGAGTCAGCCCCACTGATCTTTCCTTTCCACATTTCTCAATTGGCTCCTTTGTGTCCACCTGTTTACTCTCAGTGTTAGAACACCTGTTGTTTTTCTGTAAGTAACCCAATTATTCATTAGTCTTAAAAGCAATTTGAAGAATACTGGTGACCCTACTTATGTTATTAATTTGCATTTCGCTGCTCATTAATACTACCTAACAGTTTCCTGCAGAGGAATCATTGTGCATTTATTATACCTTTCTTTTTTTTTTTTTTTAACTGGTACCAGAGATTGAACCCAGGAGCGCTCAGCCACTGAGCTACATCCACAGCCCTATTTTGTATTTCATTTAGAGACAAGGTCTCACTGAGTTGCTTAGCACCTCACTTTTGCTGAGGTTGGCTTTGAACTTGCAATCCTCCTGCCTCAGCTTCCTGAGCCACTGAGATTACAGGTGTGTGCCACAGCACCGGCCCAAGCCCTTTTTATATTCTACTGTGAGACAAGGTTTCGCTAAGTTGCCAAGGCTTACCTGGAACTTGCAATATTCCTGCTTCAGCCTCCTGAGTTGCTGGGATTATAGGAATGTGCCTCAGGAGGCTGAAGCAGGAGGATCGCAAGCTGGAGGCCAGCCTTGGGATCCTGTCTCAAAAAGGGCTGGGAATGTGGTTCCATGGTTAAGTGCTCCTGGGTTCAATCCCCAGTACTAAAAATTAAATAAGTAAAACTGTAATTGAACACAGCTACATTCATTTGCACATAATTTATGGCTTTTTTTTTTTTTTTTTGCTATAATACAAAATTGTTCAGCATACAAAACAAAATATTTTATCTGACTGCTGCTCTTTGAAAGGCCTGCTTTTGGGGAGCCTGGATTTCGGGAGAGTTCCCACATTCTGAGAAGAGGGTATCATTGCCTAATCCATACAAACAATATGGCTTATGATGAATACCTGCTTTCCTGCTGGGAGTCTGACATTTTGGTATGTGCCAAGAAGTTGCTACGTGACTAGATCTTGATAAAACCCTTAGGCACTGGTCTCTAACAAGATTCCCTAGTTGGCAACATTTCACACAAGTTGTCACAACTCACTTCTGGGAGATCAGGAGCATCCCATGTGATTCCACCCAGAGGTCTCAAGTGGGCTCCCACCTGGCTGCCCCCCACTCCAAGCACCTTTTTTTCCCTTTGCAGATTTTGCTTTTCATCCTTCTGTGATAAATCACATGAACCTGAGCACTGAGCCCAGATGTCTTGTCCACCTCCCTACCTGACCTGGCCTGGCCCTCCTCTTCTACAATAGTCAGGCAAACTGTTTGACTTCTTTATTTTGGTGGGGGGCGGGGATACAAGGGATTAAACCCAAAGGCACTCTATCACTGAGCCACATCCCCAGCCCTTATTTTTTGAGACAGGGTCTCCCTAAGTTATGAGGACCTTGCTAAATCGCTGAGGCTGGTCTCAAACTTGTGATTCTCCTGCCTTAGCCCTCCCACGTCGCTGGGACTACAGGTGAGAACCACCATGCCTGGCAGTTTTCTTGCATTCTAGTGAATCTAGTGATCAGCTCCCCAGCCTGTCCATAGTGTAATGTCAGGAACTGAAAACTACTCAATGAGCGAGTAACAAGATGGCCCCAGGAAATGCTGATCTTTCATCTTGAGATCTGCAGAAGTGAAGAGCATCTTGTGACTAGGTGATTAGGATATGACGGGCCCTGAGCCTCAAAGCTCCGTTACTCACCTCCCACATAAACCACCCCTAAACCGGCCTCCTGGCAAGAGGGACTTCGGGCAGTCAGCTTCTCAAACAGACCCACCTTCCTGTCTGTTGATTGACCTGTGATGTGCTGAGCGGCCAGATTTAGGTCCCTAACCTGAGTCCAAGTGTCCGCTGGTCTTGTGAGTCCTCCTAGCAAATCGTGGAACCCGGCGTGGTCCTTGGCTCTGGACACTCGGGGTCCCCTGACACAGGGCCCTTTCGAGGTCAGCTGGGTCCCCTTTTACACAGTGTCACACCCAAGAGGTCCCACAGCCTTTCTGCGTCCACCAGCATCGCGTCTGCACCCACGTCTTCCCAACCTCCCCAGACGGCGCTCACGGCCCGTTCCGTGGCCCGGCTCCGCTCAAGCTTCCTAGGCGCCTCCGGCCCAGCTCAGGGCCCGCCGCCAGGTTGAGGCGCTGAAGAGCCCGACCCGTGGCCTGGAGCGGCGACGGCCCTTCCCGCTCTCCGCTCAGCGCTGAGGCGCCGGGCCTGGCAGAGCAAGCGACAGCCTCCGAGGGCTCCTCCGAGGGCTCCCTCGTGGGCCGCGGGGAGGGCGGCGCGCCACCTGCTCCCCGACCTCGCCGGCAGCCCACTTTCCCAGCCCCTTCGGGGCGACGGAGTGCGTCCTAGCGGCGTCGCGGGGGGCTGACGCAGGCGCGCGGCGTCGCGGGAGGATGACGACGGACGAGCGACGTCGCGGGAGGATGACGACAGACGAGCGACGTCGCGGGAGGGTGACGTGGCAACGTCACGGGAGCGCCGCAGCTGCGGTGTGGATTCGGATCTGGGCTCCGTCCCTCCTGCCTGTCGGCCGTAGTCGCCATGGTCTCGCAGACGCAGCTCCCGCCTGAGATCCAGCTGGCTCAGCGCCTGGCGGGGAACGAGCAGGTGACCCGAGACCGGGCGGTGCGGAAACTCCGGAAGTACATCGTCGCCAGGACCCAGCGGGCCACAGGTGGGCGGGGGCGACTAGAGCTGGGGCCGCGTGGGGCCTTCGCGGGGCCGGCGGCGCGTCCCCACCGCGTCGGGCTCCCGCCCCGCCCCGCCCCGGCCGCCTGGTGTAGTGGGACGGTGACACGAGGCTCCACGGCCACACTCTCCAGGCCCCGTCGGGTCTTCTCCTGTGGGTAACCCCCGGCAGAACGTGCGCTCCTGCTGCTCCAGCCTGCCATGTGCCACGCGGCTCATCCCTATCGGCTTGTGTAGCTGGTGGCGTGTCCACCTTTCCCTTGCCAGCCTCCACGAGGGCCAGCACACGCTTCTTGCTGAACCCTTCATCGTACCGCGGTTCTCCGGGCCTGTCCCACCCCTGCCACAGCTTCAGCACGCCTGTGCATCCTTAGAAATGCAGATTCTAGGGTCTCAGCGCAGATTCAGCGACCTGGCTTTAGGAAGCTCCACAGGGGACTCTGGTCCACACACTGCAGCCTTTGTCAACCTCGTTTGCCCTCCCTAGTGACCGAGTGAAT